CATACTCAAACCATTCTCTGTGCTTGAATTAATGGTTTATTCTCAGGTAGGGAGGTGCCAGGGAGTGAATGGATTTGAACACAAGTGTGAGGATCTTGAAGTCGATTCGTTCAGTGATGGAGAGCCAGTGGAACCTGGCCAGAACTGATGAGATGTGGGTACGGAGTTAAGTCAGGTCAGTATGCGGGCGGCAGAGTTTTGAATGAGCTGGACGTTTTGAATAGTGGAGCTGGGGAGACCAGCGAGAAGTGCATTGGAGTAATCCAAGCAGGGGGTGACAAACGCATGTACAAGGTTTTCGGCTGCATTTGAGGGAAGCTACGGTTGGAGTCAGGCAATGTGGAGGAGGTGGAAGAAAGTGGTCGTGGTCAGGGACTGGATGTGGGGGAGGAAGGAGAGTTGGGAGTCGAACCAGATGCCGAGGATGCACACTGGTTCAGTGTGTCTGAGGGAGAGCCCAGGGAGGTTGAGGAGTTTAGATCCACAGGAGTGAAGACGTTGACAGGAGCCAAGCAATATGACTTCTGTCTTGTCCATATTCAGCTGCAGGAAGTTTAAATTCATCCAGACTTTAATGTCTGCTGACAAGTTGATAAAACATTGGCGGACCTGGAGTTGGTACTGGAGGAGGCAAAGTAGATTTGTGTGTCATCCGCATACACATAGTTTACCCGTGTCTGTGGATGACATCACCCAGAGGGAGCATATAGATAAGGAAAAAAAGAGGGCCAAGGATGGAGCCCTGGGGTACCCTGCAGGTGATTGGGCGGGGGCGGGAGTAGAAACCATTCGCTGAGATGAAATGGAGACGGTTGGTTAAGTAGGACTTGGACCAAGCGAGTGCGGTCCCACTAAGGTAGATGAGGGAGGAGAGCTGATGGAGGAGGATGGCGTGGTTGACTGTGTCGAACACGGCAGAGAGATCCAGGAGGACGAGGAGGCAGAGGGGGCCCTGGTCACGGATGGAGAGGATGTCGTTTGTGACTTTGTCAAGCGCTGTGTCTGTGCTGTGGGCAGGGCGATAACCAGACTGCAGGGGCTCGAGGAGGGAGTGGAGGGAGAGGTGTGACCGAAGTTGACCTGCAACAATGCATTCCAAGACTTTGGCAAGGAAGGGAAGATTGGAGATGGGATGGTATTGTGTGAGATTAGAGGGATTGAGGGTGGATTTTTTGAGGAGGGGTGTGATAACAGCGGTTTTCAGAGGGAGCGGAACAGGGCCTGAGGAGAGAGACTGGTTGACCATGTTGGCCAGCAGAGAGGAAGAGAAGGGGGAGTTGAGTGACTAACAACTGGGTGGAGACGGGGTCAAGGTAGCAGGTGGTGCACTTCATCCGGGTGATTGTGGTTGAGAGGGAGGAGGGAGAAATGGGGGCAAAGGAATGTAAGGAGGGGGTAGTGGCAGGAGCTGTGACAGAGGGAGAAGCTGGTGTGAATGGTCTGGGTGGAGTGAAAGGGGACATGGGGTGGGAGGACAATGCAGCCAAACAGATGTTTTCAATTTTTGAGGCAAAGAAGTCTAGGACCTCTTCGCACTTGGCGTTTGATGTGAGGATAGAGGTGGCTTGAGAAGGTGCATGGAGGAGATGATGGAGGATGGAAACCAGGGTCTTTGGATTATTATTTGCCTTCAGGATGACTTTGGAGTAAAAGTCAGTTTTGGCCTGTGAAAGGGAGAGGCGGTAGGTGTGGAGGTGCTCGAGCCACAGCTGGCGGTGAATAGTGAGGCTGGATTTCTGCCATTTTTGAGTGAGCGGGGATGACTGTTGTACCAAGGGGAGCAGGTGGGTTTGGAAACAACCCTGGATTTCTGGGGAGCCAGAGATTTGAAGGTTGTGGAGAGACGGTCATTCAGCAACTTGATAGCTTTATCAGGATCGCTGCGGGTGGAGGGCCAGCGGGAGAGGAGGTCCGAGGAAGAGAGGGCAATTGTGAGGGACTCAGGGGAAGCTTTTTTCAGGGGTGGAAAAAAATGGTGGAGGGTTTGGAAGAGGGAAGGGGGATATGGGAGGAGAGGGAGATGAGAAAGTGGTATGAGATGGCCTTGTCCGTGATTGACAGGTTGGAAATGTCAAGGTCATGTGCAATGACGAGGTCGAGGGAGTGGCCACGGTTGAGGGTCGGCGAGTCGATGTGGAGGGTGGGATTTAGGGAGGAAAGCAGGGCAGTGATGGGGAGAGTGGTATAGAGAGGATTTGAGGTTGTGGGAGAGAAGTGACCGTGGATTTTGAGGAGCAGGAAGTGTTGGGGAGCGTATGGATGAAGAAGGGGGAAGGGGTGTTTGCCTTTCGGAGGCGGTTGCTGTGGAGAGAGTGAGCGATAGGACAGTTGGGGTGACTGCTCTGGGACAACCAACGCCAGGAGCCATGATGGGCCTGGTGGAGGATTCCCAGACTAAAGCAGAGGGAGGTAATGGTTGGGTCCAGGAGAGATAGAAGGCAAAGAGGGCGGTGGGAGAGAAGGACACAGTGGGAGTAGAGAAACGTGGGGGATGGGAGCAGGAACATTTTCAGGGTGTGCAGCTCAGGTCGGGGCGGCAACCAAAACACGTACGCAGAGACCGGGAGCGAGCAATCAGCGGAGCAGCATCAGCCTATGGGCCACAGGAGACTGCGCCGGGGGGGGGGGGGGGTGGGGTTGGATGGCGGTCATGGCTTGGGTGTCAGCGACCAGGAGGGAAGGTAGGACAAGGTAGCAGAAGGATAGTAGAATAAGCCCTACAATAGGCAATACAAACTGCATTGCAGTGCAAGTTGATTAATCCCCAGCAGGTAACCTTACCACCAGCTCAAGTTTTCCTTATGACAATTCACATGAAATCTTTGGTGATTAGCTCAATTGAGAAAGTTGAACTTTCCACAGCACCCATCTGAACAGCTCAACTATTACAGTCACACGAAAAGTGCTCCACTTATTTCTCCCCTCCCTTGAGCGTTTTGAGATTCCCTTTCAACGTGAAAAAGGCACAATGTAAATGTTGTTATGTTTCTGGAGGTTATGATTCACATGTTATGATTCCCTATTCTCAAAGAGGTTATCCGGCTTGCAGCAGCCAAAAGGTGGAACCACTCCAATGCAGTGCTAGGAGTGTATTGAATTGTTGAAGGGGCCGTACTTCGGATGAAACATTAAACGGAAGTCCCACCTGAATATTCAGATGGATGTTAAAGATCCCATGGCACAATTTGAAAAGAGAAGGGAGTTTCTCCCAGTTCCTGGCCAACAATCCCCCGCATAAAATTGGTCACTCACTCCATGGTTGTTTGTGCAACATTGCGGTCAGCAACGAGCTGCCACAGTTCGCCCACAGAATACTCAATCAATTCACTTTACAATATATCCTGTTAAATGCTTTGAGATGTTTCAACAACATGATAAGGCGCTATATTAAATGCAAGGATTATCTTTAGTAAAATACATGGCCTTTTAGTTGTCAGAAACATTGTCCATGGTTTAATATATATCTCTAAATATCAATATTGCACCAATAATTGTGAATTAACAAATTTACTTTTTTTAAACAAGCATTAACGAAAGAGTACTTTCCCACATTAGCATTATAACCAGCTGATAAAGCAATTTAGTGCAATTATGTAGGTAGTTTTACACCATGAACCTGAAACCATAATGAACTGGGAAGGGGGAACATAAGAAGATATGAAATGCGAGTTGAAAAAAAGACCAAGGTCCATCTAGTTCGCCTTCCTGGCAGTCACATGCACATATGTCCCAAACTACTTATGTACTATATCCCATAATGTTATTTTCTAACAGAAAACTATCTAATTATGTTTGAAGGAATCAACATTTCACCGTGAACATGCCCAATTTACTTAGTCATTCCTCATAGTCCAGTCCCTCCATTCCCTTAATAATTCTGTTTGCCCTCTTCTGTATCCTCTCAATTTCTCCCATATCTTTTTTGTACTGTGGCAACCAGAACGGTACATAGTACTCTAATTACCATCTCACCAATGACTTATGCAGTAGCAGGATAACCCACTATTTCAGCTTGCTATTGATCACAACAGCTGTTTGTAACTTTTTATACCGTTAATAATTTGCATAGCAATAAAAAATCAAAATTCAAACAATAAAAATCTAAATCTCTATTCAGTGTTCATAATCTCAAGCAGCCAACAGTTATTCAACTGACTTCAAAGATCATGGGGCTTAGGTGAATTCTGCAGCCGACGTCAACCAAGACAATGCTGAGATTAGCAGAATTGTTCTTGGGGCCTGAGCGATCAACAAGAGGTCAGCTGAGATTTTCACTCAGAACTGCTATCATTGGAAAGTGAATGCCAGGCAAGAACTAGATTATCCTCCTACCCTTACCTCTCCTCCCTCCACCCTTCCTGTTTCTAACCCCCAGCTTGGGGTCAAATCCCTGACTGTCCAGCACCTTGGGATGTCCTCCCAATGATGTCCTCCCAATGTGAAAGCGCTATACAAATGTAATTTGTTGGTGTCGTATCCGTGGCAAGGTTAAATAGCCTGATCTCCCACTCTTTGCCTGAACTCATGCATGAAAAAGGACCACTTGGGTAGGGTTTGCATTGAATATATGTCTCCACATTCAGGAGAGAAAAAAAGCCCACTAATTTCTGAACTTGAACATTCACATATTCAAACGTTCTGGCAATACCATGACTGTTTGTAGGACACTGGTGAGTGCAAATTGGCTGCCACGATCACCCACAAAATATAGTCAATCCACTTTACAGTATATCCTGTAGCATTTTGAGACGTCTCAATGTCGTGACAAGACTCTACATCAAATGCAAGGATTATTATTATTGCTATAATTGAAATGTGTAAGTCTTGACATTGACAAAATATTTTATTCTCATGGACTTTAAAAATATTTGCATCATTCAGTGATCTGTATTATCTAGCCTCCAAGAAGGCTCATTCTTTTCAATAAGGAAATGGGCCATCCAGTTCAGCCTGATTCATTCATCAGAATGAAATGCAAACATTTCTCCAAGTGAACTTACCAAGTTGCCTGGCTGCCTTCAGAACACTTTTCAAATCTTCACTAATAATCTGCTGCTCTTTCTTTGCCAAATTCTCGGTAACAAAATCAGATATGTTTGCCCAGGTCAGCCCTATATTCGAAAATTTCTCTTTCATTTTTGACCTTTTGGTCTGCAAAAAAAGTAATGAGAAGAAATATTAGTCACATCCTGCAGGGTCAATTGGTCAAAAAGATAATTACGTTCCAAAGAATCTCTAGCCAATAAAATATGCAGTTAAAACCTGAATTAATATTCTCATCATGCTACTTGAGAAAACAGACTAATAGTTTAGCAGCAAAAGCATCTCTTCTCAAAATACTCAAAAATATTAAATTTAATTCTCAAGGAACAGCACAATTCAGTACAAGAAATTATGTAAGCCACCATATTTCCATTATCTGAACACTGTTGAGCAAGAACAGGGTTTAACAAGGTTTGTTCATGCTACAGTGGGGATCATAATTGAATAGTTATTTTGTCTTGTAATGTTTCAAGTAACTAACAGCTCTAAACTGCCCTCCAAGTGATTCATTCAGTTATACTCGAGGTTAATTATCAGATTGCAAAAATGTATTCTATTTTCACTTCAATGTACCTCGGGCAAATCAGCAGTAGGGGTCAAAACATGTGTAGATATTAAAATGGTAATAAGAATATGTAAGTATTACAGCCTCAAATTTCCATAAAGAATATATTCAACTTGAATAAGCAAATTTACTGTCAAAGACAGCAATACATCCACCCACCTGTCTTCCTGCTTCAATAGTCTTTAGTATTTTTCCATTCTATGGCAAGTAACGCAGGATTGAGGCACAGCGGAACAATTAATTACATCAGATTATAAAAAAANTCGCAAGGTGGACAACAATTTTAACATTAATCCACTTCAGGATGTCAGATTATGTGTAAATGCATTAACCGATGGTCAAAGGAATAGGGAACATTTGTTTTAATTTAAGGTTTTTGTAAACATCCACAAACATGATACAATACATAATGGCCATATCAATATCCTCAGCTCCTTATTGGTCTTTCACTGCAATGTTCCAGCATAGCTCTAAACATTTTATTGTAAACTGTCAAAAAGATAAATAAAATTACAAAGATAGACTTTCAGATAATACTCTTGAAAGTGTAATTAGCAAAATTCTGTAAAATTTGTTTCTGCACTGCTCATGGAATGGATTGATATGTTGGCCTTCGAAATGATTTGGAGGCAAGTCAGAAAAGCTGAGTTGGAGGTTCTACAGTAGAGGTCTACAGCTTTAAATTTAAAGTTATTATTTTGTTTTTTTCACTCTCTCCCCCCACCCACCTCCCGCCCACCGGATTCAATTTGAAGGAATGTCAGAATGTCAGAAAGGATATTTAACCATAAGGATATTACAGCCAAGTCCATCCTATCTTCACCTAATGGGTACACAGTATACTTTCCACCTGGGTCAATGAATAGCAATCAGAAGCAAACACTATGGTTGAATTGTTCCTTCACACATGCACAGTGTGAGGGGGAAAGCAAACCATAAATCTTCCCAGTCTGAATCCAAGCGGATCTGCATGGATATTTGTAGAGAGTGGGATTGCACACAGCTGTGAAGAATGATTTCCCTCTGCCCATGATAAAAATGAAACAAATATGCAACAGCAGACCTTAGTAAGATTCAGTGTACAAAATTTGGCACTGATACAGTTTAATGGAGAAAATAAATATAGCTGTAACTACTTTCTATATAAAATTCTACTCCAGCTAGAGTTCTTCAGGTCTCTGTCCTTGGTCCTCTCCTCTTCAACTTGTACATGCTCCCTGTTAGTAATATCATCCGCAGAGATGAGGTCAACTTCCACATGTATGCGGAAGCCTCAGATCATCCAGTACTCTGCAGCTTGTATCCTCTCCCGCACCAGGCTCTATAACCCTGTAACTTCCAGATCTATCTCTCTGCCTCCACCCTTGACTCTAGGACCACTGCTGTCCTGGCAGAATATCTGTCAGACATCAAATCCTGGAAGAAAGTTAACTGTCTACAGTTGAACGTCAACAAGACCGAGGCCCTCCTGATTGGCTCTTGTAGCACCTCCACACTGACCATATCACCATCTAAGGATGCACATTCTACCTCACTGAGCCAGTCTGGAACCTTGGTGTCTTGTTTGACCCTCAGCTACCCTTTCTACCCCACATCCATGCCATGACCTGCTTTGCCTTCCCCCAACTCCGCAACATCACCTAGCTCCGCCACTGCCTCACCCCTCAGATAGCTAAAACCCTTATTCATGCATTCATCACGTCTAGATTTAACTACACCAACTCCCTGCTTGTCGGCCTTCCCAACTCTTTGCTCAACAAGCTGCAGATCATCCAGAACTGTGCAACTCGTGTCCTCTTCCGCACCAGGCTCTGTAACCCTACCATCCCCACTCTCGCCCGGCTCCACTGGCTCCCCAACCCATGGAGTTCAAAATCCTCGTCCTCGCCTTCGAGGCCCTCCAAACCCTTGCCCATCCTAACTCTGTGACCTGTTAACCCCATATCAACCTGTCCACTCCCTCTGCTCAGCAGGCTATAGCCTGCTCCACGTCCCACGCTCGACCAGCCCCTCCATTGGTAGTCGGGTCTTCAGCGTTTCTGCCCCCAACCTTTGGAACTCCATCCCATATTCCCTTCGCTTCGTCTCTCCATTGTCTCCTTCAAGGTATGTCTCAAGATCCTCTACAACTGCACCTTCAGCCACCTTCCCTACCCTCCACCCTCCCTGATCCTAATCCACTCCTGCGATGTGCCCAAATCCCTAATTCCCAGCGCTTTGGGACATCCTCCCGACATGAAAGCAGTTGTACAAATGTAATTTTGTATTGTATTCTATGAACAAGAGTACCTCCTTGAAATTAACTCTTGCATTCATTCTATTCTCTTCAGACATAAAAGGAGTAAACCAGACTGCCATCAATAAAATTATTAAGAAATGCTGCACAATTATAACATGGGTGGCGATTTCCAGTTATTTTGGCCTTTAGTTGCCTGAAAACTCTTTCATCCTTGCAAAGTTACAGAAGGAGCCTGCAGTCTTACATTCATAATAAGTAAAAATTTAAATGTTTGCTTGTATGTTTGGCATTGGTGAAGAAATGCGGTTGAAGCTCTCAAATGGTTAAATCATAGTGCAGAAAATATATCGTTAATGCAGACATGGTCTAATCATTCAAGCAGTGTCTTGAATGCATTTTCCATTACTTGATTTTAAACTGGTTCACATTGAAATGAAAATTGCATTTCAAACACCCACCATCATCTGAGAGGAGTCCTCAATGTATTCATCCTGTCTGGTGACATTTGAGAAGGAGCGTAGAGCTCCTGTAAGACGAGGTAGAGCCATTTACCACCGATCCATAGAAGAGTGATCAGATTGCTACTGAGATTTGCAAAATCTGCAGGCAGAATAAAAGTAAAAAATGCATGAAACAATTCAACCGGAACACAAGGTTTAAAATACTAGCAGTTGTGGCCCAAATCCAAAGACCAGTTACCGTTTAACAGGCCCAACTCTAAAAGGTATTCTTATTGAATCCTGTTCCGGAACCAATCACCCAACTTGCCCCCAACCTTTGGAACTCCATCCCACAATCTCTTCACCTCCCTCCCTCGCCTCCTTCAAGGCACGTTTCAAGACCCTTCTCTTTGGCCACGCTTTCGGCCACCCTCCTACCTCTACCCGCCCTCCCTCCCGATCCCAACCTCCTGCTCGGGTCCAAATCCCTGACTGACCAGCACCTTGGGACGTTCTCCCGACATGAAAGGCACGATACAAATGTAACTTGTTGTTCTTGCATTTTATTTTCTCCATTTTCTGCATTTCCTTTTAGTTGCTTTTTCTTCCTCAGTTTTAACTTATTTGTAGGATGTTGCTGGTGCAGATAATGTTATTTTGCTTGTCTCGCCCATTCTATAAATTTCAAAACAAGTTCATCATCTATTTCCAGATCAACCCATTTGAATGTATTATTAATTTAAATTATTGCCCTTGGATTCAGGTGGACTTAATAAACCATTGTGCTGTTATTGCAACAAAGCAACTTGGAGTCTTTCTCCTGGTTATCTTGATTTATATTCCCCTCTAAATCCAAGTCAGCCATCAAATTTAAATTAATCGTCTTATCTCCTCATTCTTTCTAGGACTTTGCTGGCAAAGAACAGTAGCTGTACTTGACTATGTAACATCACATTCATTTCCATTCAGTTATATTTTGTAAAACATTTAGATGTTTATTTTTACATGTAAGGTATTACATGAATACAAAGTTATTTATCATTCATTGTTGACGATATTATTGGGTTTTTGTTTGTTGTACAACAAGTATAATCAACTCCATGGAAAAGCAGCTGTCCTAAAACATTCCACTATTCTTTTTAAAATAATTCCTCTGAATACTAGTAACCAGACATTAACTCGGTACTCGGAATGTCAGCGCAGGAACAAAGTCCAATTATGGAGGTTCTCTCACCCCATGAAACTGAAGAATGCCAATAAGTTATTACTACAGGGAGGAAGAGAAACCCACTTAAGCTTTGCTTTAAAATAAACATGTAATCCCCCACCCCCGAAAAAAAATCCATGACAAATAATAAAATGCTAAAACCAGTTTCAAATTAGACATCTTTAAGATGGTAAACATTGCTGATTAGGTACAGAATGCTTACAAATACAGTCACTAGATTTTACCATAAATACTGTGAAGCATTTTGAGAAGTTTTGATTTTGTGTTAAGCAGCTTCATGAAATTGAAAAATTGTTATTTAATACAAATAAACAAAATTACCTCACAAACAACTACAACAACAACAGGCATTTATATAGCGTCCTCCACGCTGGGCGGCGTCCCAGCCAAACATGTCTGGGATCACACTTCTATAACTCCAAGAAGGTACTATTCACCAATAGGAAATTACAGGTTTACATCACAGAACTCTGTAATTTATAGTTGTAATTTTTTTTCAGCCAGGCGTCTGACACGTGCAGAAACCTATCACCATGCTAAACAGTATCCAAATGAGATCGAGTCCCATGCATGCCACCCTACACTTGGTAATTCCAGGGTCTGGAATGGAACATGTACACTCTCCCCAGAAGGTTACACATGCTTACCTGGGTTTCAAGAGCTCCCTCTTTGATCATGCTTTTGGGCACTTTCCCCTACCCACCCCCCAGGCTCCCGCCACCGGCTCAGGTGCCAAGCTCGTATCGTAAAGCACCTTAGTACGTTCTCCTGAAGTGAAAAACTCTGTATAAAATGTAAATTTAAATTGTATTGTACTTCCAGAGAGTATTAAGCACAGGTTGGCAAGAGCCAAGCTTTGAGGACTCCAGAAGGTACATTAAGATACTGCTGGAATTTTGCCAGTTAAAAACAAATAGTTTGCCATTGTAAGCACTGACTGCCAAACTTCCAATTGCTTGATCAGCTTCGGCCACCCACCCATTAAGGCTTTGGCTTGCAGACTCAACAGGAGCTGAGTTCCAGGACTTGGAGGGAAGAAAGCTTCCAAGTCCTGTCTATCACCTAAACTGTCTGGTATGTTAAGCTGACAAATTGTCAAAATTAAGATCAATAGATTTTCCTCCCAAATGAAACATTTTCTGAAGATTATAGTGATTTATTCACTGGAGCCTGAAAAAATTGACATGAAAATATTTCCTGACCAGATAGCACAACTCGGCAGATATACATACACTGAACACGCGTTGCATCAGATAAAAACATTACAAAAAACAAAAAATATATATGCCCAAAACTTCAAACTGCAAAAGACCATCATCTTCAACCACACTTACTGTCTGTCGCCTTCTCTCTCCCCTGACTGCATCAGGCTCCGCCATTGTTAAGCACTCCGAGACTCTACCCCACATGAAGGGTGCTATATACGTGCAAGTTGTTGTTGACAAATTTACAATAAATTACAGTGCTCAAGTCTGAAGATATCTTGTATAGGTTTCTTTTTCATGCAATCATAATTTTTCATATTTATTTTTTACCCAGTTACTTCAGAATTGTAAATATATGTTTATTTCTCAAACATCCAATCTTTGTCTGGTACAGTATGTTGTGCTTTCAATTTGCCTGAAAGCCCATTGGCACAGACCTTTGTGTTCAAAATTTCCAGTCCTGGTTTTGTGCAGTTTAGAATTTTTAAAGAATGAATAGAAGCAAGGGCTATAGCAGCAATCCCCATTCAAGGTGGCGTCCTGTAGCTTAGTGGTTAGCCCACTCGCCTCGCAAGTGAGAGGACCTGGGTTCGATTCCCGGCAGGACGAAATGTTGGGCAATATTCCTTACTCCACATACCTCTGTTTACCTAGCAGTAAGTAGGAACCTGGTTGTTAGTCGATTGGTAGATCATTTTCCGGGCTAATAATCCCTTCCCAAAAATTAATAAATTGGTCACTTAATCCATAACTATTTGTGGGACACTGCTATGTTGCCGCATTTCACAATTGACTGCTGCATTTCCCCACAAAACATAGTCAATTGACTTTACAATATAATCTGTGAAGCACTTTGAGACATCTAGAAGATGTGATAAGGCGCTACATCAAATGCAAATATTCTTGTTATAATACTTACTACAGCACAATTTCTGCACAAACAATTCTGTTTCCTGCACTGCATCTGGCCCTTCAATCTTAATTTGTGTAAATCTTCACCTGAGCACTGAGAACACCAAAGGTAATAATGAAGGGATTATTTTTAAATTGATACAGCTCAAGGTCTTCTATTTATTCAATTATAGCGCCACAGTTTTAAAGTACAAAATCTGTTCAGATGATGACAGGCCCCATATTTGTAGAATGTTAATTGTCTATTTAAGAACAGATTGCAAGTCCAGCCCCAATGAAATTGTCGGGGTTCATAAGAAATGAGAACATGATACAATGCTAAACCTTGCTCGCTTCTGCAGTGTAAACATCACTGAGCAACTACTGGGATTGTGCTATGGAAACTGGCATATTAAGAACTGCACGGCACTTTCAATGGTTAGAACCCAGGTCCTCTCACTTGCGAGGCGAGTGCTCTAACCACGGTACACAACTTCCTAAAATATTTTAAACCAACTCATCTGCTGATTTCTACACTGCAACTGGTTGGCAAGTCAGAAATGAGGAGGCACAAATTTAAAATTGCCAAAAATATTCTGCCTTCTGAAAGAGGCAAATTCACATTCCACATTGTGACCAAATTCGTAAAGGATCTGACACAGGCATGTCAGGCTTCATTAAACATTCAAGTCAGTTTGGTTCCATCCAAGAGAGAGAGAGAAAACAAGGGTGGTCTAACTTACAGCCCGCAGGCCTCACCCAGCCCAGCCTGCAAACCAGTTCCAACTTCAATCCCCGCACTTCCACCCTCACCGGCGAACCGTCCTTTCAACAACAACTTGGATTTATATAGCACCCTCCACGCCGGACGGCATCTCAGAGCGCTTTATGGCAGTGGAAGGAGTCAGCGGTTGGGAGAATGCAATTGGTAAGGAGATCCTCATCTCGAGGGGAACTTCCTAACAGACAGCAGCAATGGGCAGCATTATTTCTACCCCCCACAGTTCAGTGCTGAAAGTTTAACGTTTTATTATCCTTCAAATGAGATGTTAAACTGAGTTCCCATCTGCCTGTCCAGGTGTGTGTTAAAGATTCCATGGCACGATTTGAAAACAGAAGGAAATTTCTCCCAGTTCCTGGCCAATAAGCCCCAAATAAAATCGGTCATTCACTTCAAGTTTGCGGGGCATGACTATGCACAAATTGGCTGCCACATTCACCCAAAAAATAGTTATACCACTTACAGTATATTCTGTGAAGTGTGTTGAGATGTCTTGATGACGTGATCAAATGCAAAGATTATTTTTCTGATTATCATTAATTTTGCCCTCTCATCACTTTAGTAGATATTTGTTTAAGTATTTACTGTATTGTAACCCTTAAAAATGTTCAAAAGCAGTTAAGAAAGCAAATGTGGTTATGGGATTTATTTAAAAAAAGGGAATTAATATAAAACTCTGGAAGTCATGTTAGAATTATATAGGTTATTGATTAGGCTGCAGTTAGAGTTTTGTGTTCACTTTCAGCTTCCCTCCCGATATGAAAGATGATATACAAATGTAATTTTGTATTGTACTGTACAAGAAAGATAAAGAATTGAAAAAGTACAGCACGGAAGGGTACCATTGGGGTGCCAGGGTTTGAGTAAATATACATATGAAGAGAGACTAGCTAAATTGGTGTTCTTTCCACTGGAGCTGATGAGATTATACAGTGCACCACCAGGATTTCAAGTCCTGTCATCAGACTTGAACCTAAAACCTTCTCTGACTCAGAGGTGAGTGCTATCAACTGAACCAGGTTAACAACTGGTAGAATTCCAGTAAACCTATACTGAACGTATTCAATTGTTTCCTGCCTATAATGGAGTCCCCAGTATGTACGTAATGTTGTCAGCCTGGCTTAGTTGGTAAAACTCTCGTTTCAAGTCCCACATCAGGATTTGGAACTCATATAAACTAAGACGACACTCCAGTGCAGTAATGGGGATGTTCTACATTGTTGAAGATGCTGTCCTTCAGATGAGAAGTTAAATCAAGTCTTTTCAGGTGTACGTTGAAGATCCCAAAGCACTATTTTCGCCCACAAATATACAGTCAATTCACTTTAGTCTATTCTGTGAAGTGCTTTGAGACATCTAGAAGACGTGAAAAGCGCTATATCAAATGCAAGGATTATTATTATTTGAAAAAAAGAATGGAGTTTCCTCTAGTGTCCTGGCCCACAAAATAGCCAGTGCACTTTGCGGTACATTCTGTGAAGTGCTTTGGAATATTCTCCTGATGTGAACAAAACAACAACAAAATTACATTTGTATAGCGCCTTTCATGTTGGGAGAACGTCCCAAGGCGCTGGACAGTCAGTGTTTCGGACCTGAGCTGGGATTGGATTGGGGAGGGTGGAGGGCAGGGGAGGAAGCAGGGTGATCGAAAGCACGATCAGAGGAGGGTCTTGAGATGGGTCTTGAAGGAAGCAAGGCAGGGGGCGAGGTGGAGGGTCTGCGGGATGGTATTCCACAGGATGGGAATGGTGGGGCAGGCGAGGCAGGGGACATGAAGCAGGTCGGAGCCCATTGAGTGGAGGGAACGGGCAGGATGGTAGGGGGTTAGGAGGTTGCAGAGGTAGTGGGGAGCAAGACCATGGAGGGCTTTGAAAGTGAGGACCAGAATCTTGAACTGTATCCTGTGTAATGAGAAGCCAGTAGTCAGGCGAGGACGGGGGTGATAGGGTCGCGAAGCCTGGTGCAGGAGAGGACACGGGCTTTAGAGTTCTGGATGATCTGCAGCCTATGGAGGGAGGAGTTGGGGAGACCGACAAGCAAGGAGTTTGCATAGTCAAGCCTCGATGTTCTGAATGTGTGTATGAAGGTTTCGGCAGCCTGCGATGTGAGACAGTGTTGGAGCCAGACAATGTTGCGGAGATGGGGAAAGGCAGAGCGGATCATGGCACGGATGTGGGGAGAGGATAGTTGAGGATCAAGATGCCAAGGTTCCAGACTGGCTTAGCAAGGTGGAGTGTGCATCCATGGATGGCTTCTGTTAGCGCCTGAGGTGTGGGGGCGCTGATGGGAGCCAATGAGGAGAGCCTCAGTCTTGTTGACGTTCAACTGGAGAAAGTTAGTTCTCATCCAGGACTTGATATCTGACAGACATTCCGTCGGGACGGCAGTGGGTCTGGAGTCGGGGGTTTCGGTGACCTGCCAAGTCACTATATACCAAATGTAGGGATTATTCCTCCTTCAACTGTAGCTTAACTAAAGTCATAACCATTTACAATATTACGTCCCTCATTTAGTGATTTGTGTCATTAGATATGAAAGGAACAGCCCAAAACATCAATATTAATCTATTAACATAATGAAAGTTACAACCAGTGTGAACCACCCAGCTTCAAATCCATTTAAGCACAAGGAACCGTGCACATTATTAGCAACTGTGCATAAAGCAGCTTCATATTTTTAAAATCAAAATGAATGATTGTCACAGCTAATGTACAATTTGTAGTGTCAGAACTAGTTATTTTTCCTCCCGTTTTAAAAAGAGGTGCTGCCTAAAATGCAGATTGATGATTAAACAGCAGATCGCATAACATGCAACCCTCCTATCACTTAACAGGGCCTTGAATAAAGACGTCATTCTCCTCCAAAGTGCTGTGAAGTTCCACGCAGTGATAAAGTGAAACAGCATTTCTGCACAGGCAAGAATAGCCATTGCCTGTTTCTGGCACATTGCTGTGTGCACAAACGGGCTGCCACGTTTGCCTGCAAAATACACAAACAAGCCCCTGCGCTTCGGAGTAAGATCGTGCAAAGCGCTGCGCTGACGTGTTAAGGTGCTCCACCCAAGGCCAGGTTTAGTCGGTGATTATTGCTATTTCTCGGGGTCGGTGCCAGTGTTAACTTTCACTCCAGGACAGTCAGGAAGCCCAGCGGCGGCTTCCCGAGCATGCGCACTGGGCGCTGCAGGCGCGAAGCACGTCGGGACCTGTAGTTCCCGGCTCCCATCGCTCTGATAATTTCAGGCCTCGCCAGACACTCCTCCCGACAAAACAATCTTCCCTGAACTCCGGCCCTGTCCTGTCAACCCCGTAACTTGCATCGCTCGCAGGTTTCCTTTTGTCGGCGATGCCCCGCCGCCAGACAGTTCATTAACCGCAGCAATACCAACTCACCGCTCACCGCCTCTAACGGAGCCGCCGCCCGGCCCCTGCAGCCGCTCACTGAAGCCGGCACTGGGGGGGCGGCAGTTGTCGGGCTGCGTCAGGTGCGTGCCGCCGATCTCGCGAGACTCCGGCATCCGACAGAGAGGCAGTGGGTGGAGCGAGGAGCGTTGGCCGCGGGGTCTCGCGAGGTCTTTTTTTTTTAGAAAACAGGCACGAGGCGAACCCTTCTGTCCGCGCCTGCGCCAGAACCCCAGCTTCAGCTGGTGAGCGAGCGGGGAGTCACCCACCCGCCCAGTCTACCACTCACCCACCCAGTCACCCTGCCACCCTGCCACCCACCCAGCCAGTCTGCCACCCACCAGCCAGTCTGCCACCCAGTCACCCACCCACCCAGCCTGCCACCCACCCAGTCTGCCACCCACCCGCCCAGTCACCCACCCACCCAGTCTACCACCCACCCGCCCAGTCACCCACCCACCCGCCCAGTCACCCACCCACCCACCCAGTCTGCCACCCACCCAGTCAGTCTGCCACCCACCCACCCAGTCACCCACCCAGTCTGCCACCCACCCAGTCAGCCTGCCACCCACCCACCCTGCCACCCACCCACCCTGCCACCACCCGCCCAGTCACCCACCCACCCACCCAGTCTGCCACCCACCCAGTCAGTCTGCCACCCACCCACCCAGCCTGCCACCCAGCCTGCCACCCACCCAGTCTGCCACCCACCCACCCAGTCACCCACCCACCCAGTCTGCCACCCACCCACCCAGCCTGCCACCCACCAGCCTGCCACCCACCAGCCTGCCACCCACCAGCCTGCCACCCACCAGCCTGCCACCCACCAGCCTGCCACCCACCCAGCCTGCCACCCACCAGCCTGCCACCCAGCCTGCCATCCACCCACCCAGTCACCCACCCACCCAGTCTGCCACCCACCCACCCTGCCACCCACCCGCCCAGTCACCCACCCACCCACCCAGTCTGCCACCCACCCAGTCAGTCTGCCACCCACCCACCCAGCCTGCCACCCAGCCTGCCACCCACCCAGTCTGCCACCCACCCACCCAGTCACCCACCCACCCAGTCTGCCACCCACCCACCCAGCCTGCCACCCACCCACCCAGCCTGCCACCCACCCAGCCTGCCACCCACCCAGCCTGCCACCCAGCCTGCCACCCACCCAGTCTGCCACCCACCCAGCCTGCCACCCAGCCTGCCACCCACCCACCCAGTCACCCACCCACCCAGTCTGCCACCCACCCACCCTGCCACCCACCCACCCAGTCTGCCACCCACCCACCCAGTCACCCACCCAGCCAGCCTGCCACCCACCCACCCAGGCAGCCAGCGCTGTGGCAGGTTAGGCGGTTCCTCAGCATGAAAAAAACAGCTTTGGGCCGGTGGCTAATTTTTATTTTTTTATATATAAACCCCTGAAAAAAAATGTAAAGACTATTTCTTGCACTGTTTCAAAAGCACTAACCTAAATTGGCCACTCTGGTACCCATAGGAGGCAACTCATAATATTGGGTTAGTTTTGGGACAAGTATTGGTTTATTATTTTTATTAGTATTTATTAAATATTAGTATTTTGGTTGTCTTCGGGCTACAGATGTATTTTTAATTTCTGGCAAACCCCACTGGTGCAGGTTTCTCGGCCTTTTGTCTAAGATCGAGTGCAGTATCTGTTCTTATCAGGTGCTCCTTGGGCTGTGAGTTCTGCCTTGCAGGTGTCAGATTGGTATCGCTGCCGCTCTGAGCCTCCCCGTGATTTATCTGTGGGGAAAAGATGCAGCTGGCCGCAGGAATAATAATAATAATAATAATAATAATCCTTGCAATCTACGACTGTTTGTGGGACATTGCTGTGCGCATTTGGCTGCCGCGTTCGCCCACAAAAAGTCAATTCACTTTACAGTGTGTTCTGTGAAGCGCTTTGGGATGTCCTCCCGACGTGTAAAGCGCTATATCAAATGCAAGGATTATTATTATTATTATTTGATAGAGCGCCTTATCACATTGTTGAGACGTCTCAAAGTGCTTCACAGGATATACTGTAAAGTAAATTGACTATATTTTGTGGGTGAAACATGGCAGCCATTTGCGAGCAGCAGTGTCCCACAAACAGTCGTGACCAAATTTTTTTTTCAAAGGGGTTATTACCCCTGGAATGTGATCCACCAATTGATTAACAACTGGGTTCCCACTTACTGCTGGGTAAACAGGTGCAGATTAAGGAATCCTACGTAAGGTTTCACCCTGCCCAGGAATTGAATCCTAGTCCTCTTGCTCGCGAGGCAAATGCTCTAACCAACACGCTACAAGAATGCCAGCTCTCAGACCCCAATTGGCTGGGATCAGGAAAGCAAGGATTCGGAGTTGAGGACTTTGATCCACTCCCACAAGGAATAGCAGAGAAACTGGACTGCAGATAATGTACCCTAAGCCCTCAATCGCCAGCCTCAGGCTGGGCTTACTTGAGTGGTTGTAAGTGAGGAATCGGGTCCACATTGATGATTTTGGTCAGGCCTCCTACTCCTCTGCACCCCACTCCCCCCAGGTCAGACATTCAACCCCCTACACCCCAGGTCACCCACAAAATTTACAGTCACACCACTTTACAGTATATCCTGTGAAGTGCTTTGAGACATGCTCAAAGCACGGGACTGCCATGCCAAATGCAAAGGATATGTCAAATGCAAGGGATTATTACTTATTATTATGGAATGCATCACCAAGGTGGAGATTGTGCATAATGTTACTGTATATCTCCTCGGCATCTCCTCTAGCCCCCATCCCTCAGGGCTCTGTCCTCGGTCCCCTCCTTTTCGATATGTACATGCTCCCGCTCAATTATTTCATTTGCAGGCTGTTTTTTTAAACCTCATTTTCCTGTAACCAACATGCTTTATAAATGTTAATTCATATTTCTAATAAAATATAACTACAACTGTAAAACTAATTACAGAAATATTTTTAGATCTTGTCCAAGAGAGAGGTTGATTTATGGAGGACAGAGAGAGTATCATTACAGCTGATCATACCCCAACATACCTAATATGTATTTTTATAATAAAAAAGACATTTAATATGCTAATGTTGTGCACTACAGAACAGTAGCATCTGGAACTTCCTCCATGCAAATTTCAGTTTCTTGAAGCAAGTAGAATGGAGGTTAAAAGATGTACCCCTTATCTAGGAGGGAGAGTCATCAAACTAAATTATAAAATTGTATCAGCATAGTTTGGCAATATTGTATTGCTGATATTGCATAAGAAAGAGGTAAAAGAAGGAATGAGACATCTAGTTGCACCCTCCTTGGCATACTAATATAGTATGGTCCCAACCAGACTCAAGTCATAGAATATGGTAATATTTGCATTTGATATTGCGCCTATTATATTGAAACGTCGCAAAGTGCTTCACAGATAATTGCTGTATTTGTAGAAATTCGTCAACCAATTTATACACCGAAATGTCCAACAAACTATGAAGGTGGAATCTTTCTATGAATGTCCCATGAGGTGAAACACCGGTGCATTTGGTAGCACTCTCGCCTCTGAGTCAGAAGATTGTGGATTCAAGTCCTACGTCAGGACTTCGAATCACATAATATAAGCTGACACTCCAATGCAGTGCTGGGTGGGAGGTGGGTTGGGGGTGGTGGTGGCGTTGCATTGTCAGAGGTGCCGTCCTTCAGGTGAGACATTAAACCGAAATCTCATCTGGCTGTTCAGTGGATGTTAAAGATCCCATGGCACTGTTCATAAAGAGAAGGGAGTTTCTCTCAGTGTCCTGGCCAACTAACCCCCAAAGTACACAGTTAAACCACTTTACAGTATGTCCTGTGAAGTGTTTTGAAATATCTCATGATAAGGCCCTGTATCAAATGCAAGGATTAGTATTATTATTAAGTGAATGTACTACCAACTGAGCAAGGTTGACATTTTATGTCTTTTATATACACATTTGTGGAGTCCTGTAGCTCAGTGGTCAGAGCACTTGCTTTGCAAGCGAGAGACCTGAGTTCAATTCCAGGCAGGGCGAAACCTTGGGCAAGTTTGCTTACTCCACACGCCTAATAATAATCCTCCAAAGCCAAAAACAATAATAAATTGGTCATTTTCAATCTGCGACTGTTCGTGGGACATTGCTGTGCGCAATTGGCTGCCGCGTTCGCCCACAAATATACAGTCAGTACACTTTACAGTGTGTTCTGTGAAGCGCTTTGGGACGTCCTCCCGACGTGAAAAGCGCTATATCAAATGCAAGGATTATTATTATTATTGTATTTATACCTGAAATAATCACTTGATTTCATAATGGGTTAATTATCCAGCTCTTGTCTACCCCGTTCCCACAGTAATATCACAATAGTGTTGCTTGAGAAAATCCTTAAGCTGTAAACTGCCCTGATTGTGGAGAGCAACATTTAAGTGCAGCTTTGAATTTAGTTAATATCCTGCCAAGCAGAATTCAAGTGCTTCCTCCAAGATGTTAATTCAACAAGGCCTCCAATTTCAAACATATCATTGGGAAGTTGGTGAAATGGCACGAAAAGACCAATCTCAACCCAGGTGAACTGGGGATAGGGTAATTGGGATCTAACAAAAACCTATCCCAAAATAGCATTGGCCTACCCTGCCTAAAAACCTACGTCTTCAACCACACTTCCAATTATTTCTTCCCCCCAGGTGTCCATCCTCATCCTTGTAAAGCGTTCTGAGGGGTTACGCTATGTGAATGGCTCTATAGAAATGCATGTTGTCAAGTAGTTGTAGCAATAATTAAAAAATGGGAACAAATTAGCAATCCTTCACATCAAATGCCACTAATTTCATCCCTACATCATGGACTGAACAATTTTTCGCCCCCAAGTGTTAATGTGTTGCTTTCACCAGTTCCAACTGAGACAAAATGTTAATATAGAAGAAAGGGAATGCTGAGCCCTGAAAGCTAAAGCTAAACCCACTGCATTGATTGAATATTAAAGAAGTTCTTTACCCCCTGAAGTCAAGTATAATTAGTTTAATGTCATCTGCATTCAATCTAAAATTCTTTTACTTGGTTACTTTAAAAATAGGCATCAATCAGATAATGC